CTTTTTCTACCAAGACTTCCTTCACCCCTCTACAAGCCATCTACTTGGCTCAGGCCCCACTATGGCCATTCACTCATCTTCATCTTGTCATACAGAAAGCCAAAAGACCAAGCTGGGGTGACTCAAGAGGCTTTTATGCTCACCCTATCAATAGGTCCAGGCTCCCAGCAAACAGAATTTCCTTCTCAGCAGTAGCTGGGCTGTGGCTGACCTGCTCTAAGAACGATTTGCACCATGTTTCCTAGAGAAAAAAAGCAACATCCTGCAATGCAGCTGACAGGAGGAAAGTGTTAAGTATCCTATCAATTAATGAAATAGCTCTGTTCTGTTAGTGTTACAACAGCTCTGAAGCAAGGAAAGTTTCTGGTTAGGCTGGTGGATTATATACTTGAGCTACAGCAGCTTCTGCCAAAGGCAACTTTGTGAGACTTGCTTCTCCTTATGGGACCAACTAGTATCAGCCATTGTGCTATTTAGTATAAAGATAAATACCATCATGAGATCTAAACTGTGAGGGGAATAAAGCAGTTGCTAAGAAAGCAGAAAAATTATCTGCTACATTTGAAATTCAGCTCATTTTTTTACAAGAAGCTCGGCAAAGAAAATCAAAAACAAAAACCATAAACACTTTGAAGCCTGCATCAGCATGAACTAGGCTTCCTCTTGGGCATGTGGCGGGAGACCTCAACTGCATATAGTTCACTCGGTCTTAAGGTGGGACTCAGTTTGTCTAGCTTAGACACTTATTTTTCACATACTTTTAGGCAACCCCTGAGCAATCTTCCAAAAACAGTGCTTTATCTAGCCCAAGAAGAGAAGGTGCTTACATCTAAAGCAACAGGTATCTCGGAGGAATGAAGGCTGTTATGAGTATCTCTGTCTGTCTGCCTCTCCCATGTGTTCATCTGCAGACAGGGATGTGGGAGATTTACTGCCAAACTCTGGGTGTGGTGGGTGTGCTGGTGAAGATGCCACTGCCACCATCCCTCATCACCACTATAGCTTGTTCTGCAGCACTCCAACCAATTGCCACATTGCCCATTCTGTTCTAACACAAGCTGTAACACCATTGTCTGCTTGGTAAGACAGATAGACTGTCTGGATGGGGATTTCAGTGCAGAGAAAGGAAATTAAAAATGCAAAATAGAACAGATGGCATAAGCTTCATTAAAATATCTCGTCTCCTGGGGATCCCATGAGGATCCGTTGCCTTCCAGTGGATATGGTGCCCCTGGGATTTACACTTGGGAATTATTCTGTTCCTCCTTATCACAACTCTCTTCTGTTTTCAAAAGGCTTGTGATATGTGCTCCATCTGGATATGCCTTCTAATAAGGATGTGCTAGAGACATCTCCTAAGCACTAATGTATACCCAATGCTGTCAGAAGCCTCCTTATCAAGTAATTTGAAAGAAGGAAGCATGGCTGAGCCTGGCAGTTCCTGACAAAAAGTGGGAGTGTTACAAAAATCAGAAATACATAATTAATATGGATATAATACCAATAAGGGTTTAAGATTATGAACTACATGAACTGGGAGATACTACTTCCCCTTGGTGTGGGGTTCTCCTCTTTTTGATGTGGCCCCAGAAGCAAGCTAAACATTTTACTGTTCCACTTATAAGCTAGATGTCACCTTTAGGAAGTCACTAGAAATATGAGCCACCTGTAAAGTTTTTCTTATATCTAACTGGCCGCCCAAGCAAACACGTGGCCAAATGTATGTATGCACATGAAAAGAAACAACCAAGGAAAAGACCACTCAAGCAGCAGGATAAACTTGTGTTCAGTGTGGGCAGCACAGCACACTCTTTCTCTCACACTTCAATCACTGCAGCCTCTGAAAGGAAAAGTTGTATTCATGCTGAGCTGGTATTTAATTGAGCTCACTTGAACCAAGTTTCCAGCAAGTCCATATGACAGATTTATATATGAATCTGCACAGAGTGAAACATTACATTTATCAACCTTCCATCAGTGCATTTGACATTTGAACAATTGATTCTGATTTAATAGTGACAAATGCCACTATCCATACGGAAAACCTCCAATGGGATTAAAATCCTAATCACTACCATGCCCAACAATGTCTTTTCCAGTTAAGCTATTAAACATTTATGTACTACTTTAACTTTTTCTAGCCTTAAAGAGATTAAAAAAAAATCCAAATCTTGACAAGTTTAATGCATAAGAGACAAAAAAATCTAGTTACAGGGGGCCAGAGCTGGGAGCTGCGAGCCATTAAACTGCTTGAAAATTGTAAAGGTTGGGCAGATTTTAAGAACAACAGCAGCAGGAGCTGGTGTGTATTAAGGCATGTTACATTGGCTACAGACAATACTGTCAGTCTTGTTTTGCCCCAGGAAACCTAGAGATCATCTGGGTATAGCTAAGAGTGGAGAGTCAATCCAAATGCCACTAGAAACGTGTTCACCTAATTAAAGAGACACGCTGTTTGCACAGGCAGAGCAAGGGGTGTCTGAGCAGACTTCTCTCTGGAGACAAGGTAGGCTTGCAAGATAATTCAGCTTAGGCAGGTAGGTTTCACCCACTATTACCTTCATAAGCACATTGTGGCCAGCACTGAGTATTTGCTGGGCAGAAGCACTAGCTGTAAAGGAGGTCATGGCAATGGTATACCTCCACCTACTGCAAAAACTGTTCAGACTCTTCCAGTACCTCCCTTCCCCTCTTTACTGATGGGTAGTAACATTTAGCAGTGGCTACACGAAATAAAATTTTCCCTATGTGGCAAATCAGAAGTTCCAGCAGAAAGACTAATCATTCTGTTGTATCCGATCCTTGGAAAAAAGCTGTTAGGCTCTAAGAAGTGTGACTACGGTGTATTTTCATGTATTAGACCACTTTAATAATTAGTTACCTTGCAATCAACTAATGTAACAGGCTTCCTCTTCCTTAGTCACCTCCAGATGGTAAATTCCAGTTTACAGCAGACTGAGTTTCTCCTGTCAAATTCTTCTCATTTCTATTATTCCAGTTTCTATGTTTTTTCTCTAAGTTTTTTCTGAGTCTTTGTTGTACTGGTACAAATACTATAACTACATTTTTTTTGCCAACTCCTGCTTTTTGTGTCAAAGTCATTAACGAACACATAAATGAAATGACTGAGAACTCCATTAGCAATGTCTTTTCTTCTGATACTTTCTCCTTCAACACTACCTGATGTGATTTGAATTCCTGGGTTTCTCCATCTACTGTCTTTCCTAAAGCACTTAGTTTATAAAACTGAGTTTTGTTACAGATCTATCTCAAATTACCTTTTTATTTAATTTGCATGAATTGAACTTGTTAACCCTGAATCCAAATCTATTTCCTATGATCAGATCTTCCATAAAGTCCTGATGATTTATCAAAGCCAAATCCAAAATAGCACCATTTCCTGTCACATTAGCGAATCTCTGGAGGGTATTTTTATTGCCTAGAAATGCAAGAATATCTCAGACTTACCAATAATAGCATCAATGGCTCTCCAACCTGATTCCTGATGTTAAATTGTCCAAAACAACTATTGCAGTAGTAATTATCTCTCTAATAACATTACAGAACTCTCTTGGCAGTGAAAAACAATCCTTGTGGCATATGGCATGCTGGTAGTGATAATCTTTTACCAAACTGTGAGTCATGCTGTCATTAACACATACTGCTGCTCCCTGCATTTTCCTAAAAAGCAGACATTGGTTTTTAGAGTGTTAATGACTGCTACTGCAGGACAGATCTACTGCACTTGCCCATATCCCATATCAGTTGCTCAGGGTCCTCCGCTTTGCTGCATAATCTTGCCGTGTTTCCATATCCAACTTTCTGTCTTCTCCTTCTTAGTTACTCTTTCAGTGAGATCTTGCCTATTTAATGACTTTATTTTCATTTGCCGTTTACTGGTCTACTCTGTGACCAGATTTGTCTGATTATTCAATTTACCACATACTCAGACAGAACCCTGAGATTTCACAAGAGCTCCCCAGCCTTTTCCTGGTGTTTCTTTAAGGTTCCTCTTATAAATGAAGCCAACACTAGTGTTTGCAGCTGTACTGCAGGTCCTTGGACAAAACCAATTTATTGAGAACATCTCTTCATAATCACACACAAAGGCCCAAAATTTCCCTAATCTTCTTCAAACCTTAGCTGTCTGCTGACCTTCCCTATCACCCACCTAGTAGGGGCCAAAGCTATATTCCAGAGAACGTGTGAGCACCCACTTCTTTCAGAGCCTTCTCCAACACGGCATAGTCACCCTCAATCAGCTCCAGCAGCATCCTCTCAATACCATTTGTTCTGTGTCAATGCCATTTGTTCTGATGTGAAGAACAACCAGGGGGCTGCTTCCCGCTCCTATTGGGAAATTTTCCAGACTTAGATTCCCATTCTTTATCCATTCTCTGAGCAAAAAGCACACTGCTCCTTAAAGCACACTGTTCCTTTGACTTGGATTGCTGTCCTCCTGTAAGCATCAGCCTTGTGAGGAAAGAGTGTATTCTGTTAATTGGATGCTTCTGCTTCTAGAACTTAAAGAACATTGCTCAGAAATAGCATGTGTATTTGTATGCTAACCTTTACAGACCTACAAGCCCTCCATCTCACAGTAACACAGCTCTATCTTTTCCTGGTAGCGGCTCAAGACTCTGATCTTCTCCCTTTTGCTTTCAGTTATTCTGTCTTCTCTTCTTTTTACAGTCCCTCTATATTATCTTCACTCTTTATCTGGCCAAGCCTTGATCTTAGCTTGATAAAAATCTGTAGGTTTAAAAAGATATGCCTTCCTTTCAAGGCATAGCTTCCTCCCTCTACCACAGCCCAAGATACAGGGTCCTTACATGTCTGTAGGTCAGTTCCCTCAGCAGCAGATTCACAACGATAAAACTCCTCTGTGAGTTGTTTCAGCTGAGCTGGCATTCTCAGCCACATGCATGGAGATCTGCATACAATCACCGTATTTCAAACCTTGGATTCAGCCTTTTCACTCTCCATCATCAAAGACTCACCTAATTTCACTTGAAGTGGGGACGGCTTATAGTTCATGGCTACAGTCTCTCCCTCTCTTGTATCACAATCTCTGTCCGAAATAGATGCAGCTGTTGGATCCTGTTAAGAAAGAAAAGGAAACAAAACAGAATGGTTTAGCTAAAAGTTATGCAGTCTCTTCTCTAACTGGCTATTAGGCGAGTCTATTCCCACCTGCATTCAGAGGGAGCAGAGAACATGCCAGCGTTTGGAACAGCTGAAACCCAGGGCAAACCACAGAATCTTGGAAGCACATTTAGTATGCTAAAAGTACCTCTGGAAACACCAGATTTCAACATCGGACTTATATGATGGATGATACTGGGAATGTAATGTGGAGGGTGGGTCATCAGTTCAAATTCAGCCTGGGCTGGCAGTAGTCCCAAGCCATTTTCATGTAATGACTCTTTGGGTTGTTGTATGAAATGCATTTAGTTTCAGCTGAATTCCAAGTGAAACAGTCAACCTCATGATTAAAACTAAAAACTTCATGACCAGCTCTGTGTTAAAATCCAGCTCTGAAAGAATGAAGACTAAATGAATAGCAGAATTTGATTTCTGGTTCCTCTTGGGAGAGGAATGAAGAAGCTTGTACTTCCGATACTGAACCTATTTTGTGTCTAACTGGAAAGATTTAATTTCAGTATCTGTCAGCACAGCACCTTTCACTGTCACTGAAATCCCCCCAAAAACCAAAGCTCCCCGAACAATGAGTCCTCTCCATCACGTCTGCTGCAGACAACCTAATCCAGGTAGTGTTGTATTCTATGGTATAGCACATCAAAGGAATCAGAGAGACACAAACTACCAATTCAGGCAGTTCTACCACTGCTAAAAATATTTAAAGTCCTTTCACAGCAAACTTTAAACCTGCTGGAACTACATCTACTTGGCACTATAGTGAAAATTAAAACTGGTTTTCAAACATTCACTTTTTCCCACCTAGAAGCTGGAAAATAAATTAAACATGCATATACATATACATATATGTGTATGTAAATTTGGATTTATAATAGGTAGTGCTGCACAGGGAAAACAAAAATCCAACATTAGGTCCAGCATCTGAAGAAACCATCACTTTGTAAGAAATGGAACAAAACATCAGAAACTAAATACTAGAAAATACCATTCCAAACTGGTGATTTGATATAGTCCATCTCGTAGTTTCTGGAGTTTGTGTTCTGTACACAATTTCTTATAAAAATGAAACTCATCAATGGCACTGACACGTGTATGCAAGGCAGAGTCACTGAGTTTCAAAGCAAGGTACCATCGCTCTTTGCTCTCAGTAAAAAAATCACTTGGTGAGCCACTACCCCTTCTTCCCCCATACCTGCTTTCTCTCTGCATTGCACGTTAGTTCTTTTTAATACATTGTGCTTATGAGATAAAATGTGATTCTTAAATTAGGTTCTATCTTCATAGAAACTGGTCAAATAACATATATAGGGTTACAATGTTTTATCGAAATTCTAAATTCTGCTTCTTGCACCATCCAGCAGACTTTGACAGGACTTCAAATGGATGGTGCTTACAAGACCTTGCATTCAATGACATTAAATAGGTAATGCTGAACCATATGCAATTTCTTCTGCTTTCCTATAATGCAGTCACTGCTGCACTTGTCCTCTAATGCAGCAGTCTAATGACTGGTTAAAAAGGTTAGAGCAGATTGCAAACAAAAAGCCGGCCCCCAGAACTTAGTTAGGCATAAATGATGAATCACATGCATTTTAGGTTCAAAATCCTACTTTAATAAGTACACTAAAAGACAAAATACTGCAATTGAATGGCAAAAATACAGCAGTTGAAATTAAATGAAGCTAAACGTGAAGTGGTACACAGAAGAAAAAAAATCCCAACTTTAAAAATGAAAATGATGAGCTGTAGCTAGCTACTGTCACACAAAGAAGAGATTTCAGATGACAGGTTCCATTAGATGACCAGCTAGACAGACCAGGACTCTTCAGCCAGGGAGAGACAACAGACAGGGGCTCTGGGAGAAGTCTAAATTATTCTGAGTGGGGTGAGAAGGTGAATAGAGATCAGCTACCCCTTATTTTCTACAAGCATAAGAAACCAAGTGGCAGTTTGCAGCAGCTGGAAACAAACTCCATACTTCTCCATAGAGCTGATGATGTGCTGCTGTGGATGCTAAAAGGGGCACGGGAAAGGGTGAGAAAAATGAATTGAATGAACATCAATCAAATACAAAAGCACTGCTTCTGGCTCAGGCTGCCTGTAGGCACAGATGGCTGGAGGGAGGGAACCAGGGAGGCATCACTGCCGGATCACCCTGTTCTTGTCCTCTGGGTGACATGACACAGGAATAGGTGAGACCTTTAATCTGACTTGAAATATTTATCTTTATTTCCTGTGTCAGAACCTATTCTATGATCTCAACCAAAGACCAGTTCTTGTTCTATCCCAGGATTGGTCTCAGACATACCCTGATGAAGGGGCACAGAGGAATCACAAAGCACCAGCAGAGCCCGGGTGACCATCTCTGCGTGCGCAGGCCAGCCCTGCTCCCTCCAGAGAGCAAAATGGATCCAAATGGAAACCAAGCTGGGCCAGAGACAGTGTCCCCAGTGCCAGCAGGTATCTATCTGTGGCCCAGGAGTGCCGAGGTGCTGGTATCTGTCACTTCATATACATTCTGCAGCAACGCACAGGGCTCCATAGTAACAACTCTGGCTGCAAGAATGACGGCATTCCCACGGCAGCTCGCCTGCAGCTGCTTCTTTGCACGAACACACTTTGCTTCTGTGCATACTGAATGGGTGCATTGCTCTCTCTGTCGCTCATCCACCCAGAGAAAAATTTACTTGACTAATTTGCCTTTTGCTTGTGAATGCCTATGAGCACACCGAGACTCACTGCAGGCTTTCGCTACTGGAATTCACTTGGCGATTTTGTCCTTTTTTACAAGTCTCCCTAAATCAATGCATTCAGCTCTGGCCCCAGTATCAAAATCTGAGCTACACGGTGTGACCAGTCCCAGGCCAGATGATGTGATTTTTCTCTGCTTGCTGAGGTGAACACAACACTCACAATCAAAAGGCAAGTGTCAAGATGTGGCTGTAGGGGCTTTAAATGGCTATGGGGATTTAATATATTTAAGGAATTTTTTGATCCTGAAGCCTCTTTATGTGTTCATTCCTAGGGAAAAAATATATTCAATTAGGCTGCTGCATGAATGTTTGTCTGGGGCCAGAGTTTAATCAAAGTTTTCTCCCCACATGCTCACAGCTTAGTTGGGCATTCATAACAACAGCATTCAAATGGTGTGATGGTTCCTTATTAGTTTGTTTTTTTTCTATAGGCTCAACACAATGGAACTTGAAAACTGCCCTCCTGCTAAGTATAGCCCTGTCCTACAGTGTGTGTACCATGTGCCATTTCTGAACATCAGAAATTAGTCCAAGTGAACCTTTATGGAGCAGGAGTGCTGTGAATCCTTGCTATGCAGGGGCACAGAAAGAAGCTGAAACCACTTTAAACTAAAATCAGGGGTTTAAGGAAGACAGTATGCTCAGAAGGGTTTTTATTCTTTCTCTTTTTTTAAATCTTGCCTTTCCTTTCTGCAGTTCTTAGCAAGAAGCACAACATCTGCCATAACACCCCAGGTCAATAGCATTTTTGTTCTTACTGTCCACCTCTTCCAGTAACCCACAATAACTATGGGGGGCTCCAAACAGCCAGCAAACTGTGCAGTTACACCCTGAGCAACGGAGCTAGGTGCCACGTATAAACACACCCTTGTAGCATCTTGGAAAATGCAGCTTTCTTTGCCTTCCTTCACAGTCAACACTTCTGACACCTTGTAAGCTTAACAAGCCTCTGCTTTTCACTCTGCAAATCCTCTGGGACTCCAGTGCATGTGGAAGGGAATAGGCACACACTGTTTCTGTGGCCTTCAGCTGCCCTTTAAAAACAAAGCTGAGATGTCTCTATCTGCCCACCCTTTCCAATTCTAAAAATCAGTCATTTTTACAACCCTAAGAAAACGTTCTCCACTCTGCTGTCTGTGGAAAATTCTATGATCATTAAAGCAGCTCTGTCTTTTGATAAAAGCAGAGAAGCATGATTGCCCTTACCCACTAATCTCAAGGAAAGAACCAATATACAGGGCTTTATCCACCATTTTTCTCCATAATTCAGAAGCTTTGGTCTGATCATCATCAGCTGAATCAGTATGATCTGACTGCTCAGGATTATCATCCAGCTACCTTTGTCTCTCTCCTGTACCCACTAATGATATGCTTGCTCTCTTCTGTTCAACTTAAAGATGCTGGAAGTCTCAGTATCAACATGTGTGTGACAGCCTACAGCAAGCACTTGCAGCTCTGCAGATTCCTGCTTTCTGAAGCTGCCCATGTGGATCACATGCTGCAAATAAATGCTAACAGAAAGAACAAACGCAAATGTTCTCCTTCTTTTCCACATCAAACATTGAGTCTGGAAAATTTTATAGATGTTCTGTGCACAAGAGACTGACTTAGTGAATAGAAGAACAAGTGAGAAACCACACGCACCCCAAATACAGGGGATACATGTAGATCACCGGGAAGTTTCTATCATTCCCATGTTGTCATCCCAGGCTCTCAGGCCAGGACATTGGTCCTGCAAATAAATATTTATGCCTTCAGCCTCTCTGCTCTGGGAACAGACAATCCTGTGCTGTTTGCAGGTTCACTCTGCCTCAACCTGTACTACACTAGGTTAACCTGAGAAATGCAGCTGTGGGCAGCAGACATCTGGAGAGGGAACTCTGATGTGCACAGGTGGGTAGGTAAAAGCACGAGCTTACAATATTTTGGACAACAGATCTCTGCAGCCTCTAGATATCACTACAATACTGACATGAAATATCTATGAATATAAAGTGCTTAAAAAAAACCACCAGGAACAAAAGCACTGGGAACCAAGATGCGCATACTCTGTCTGTGTAAGAAACAGCATAAAAGGAGAGGCTCAAAGGCTGTCAGATTTATAGTGGATCAAGCTGAATCCACCATATAGATGAACAATGGTCAGTAATGGCATGTTAGGCAAGAGAAAGGAAAGCATCACAGAGG